GCCGTGCCAGGTGCAGGGTCTGCTAGCTGGGTGCTGGCAGGCTTGCACCCGGCACGGGCACCATAGCCAGCCCGTGCCCCTTTATGGGGTTCGGGGCTGGGAGGGGGGCAGATGAGTTTCCCTGGTGTTGTCCAGAGTGGCCACCAGGGATAGCTGGGGAGGGCTAGCCTCCCACTAGTTCAAACTAGGCTTAATCCTCGTAGAATGAGGTTTACCTAGTTCGAACTAAGTGCTCCGCTAGTTCGAATTAAGTTCGAAATAGCGGAGCGCTAGTGTAGCGCCTATCAAAGTTAATTCGAACTAACGTCCGTTAGTTCGAATTAACTTTGTAGTGTAGACATACTCTATGTGTGTATTGAAAAGTTCAAGAGTAAAGAGCAGTACATCTTAATTTTAATTCTATTATCAAAAGGCCATTTAAGATTTAATGGTAGTAGCACTCGGCACCATATCTCCTCAAAGTGCTTTACAAACAAATTAATGTTCATGACTCCCAAGCGAGATAGCTGCAGTAAAGAAATGTTATTCATTTCATTCACTGTGAACCACGGCAGAGCAACTTGACCAAATAAATAAATGCCAGAGCAGAACTAGAACTCAGGAATTCCTGACTCATTGGTCTTTGAATCCAGCCTGAAATAATATGGCAGATGTTTAAAATGCATTTTGGGGTGAACAACTTGTGGGCTCAACAGAGTTGGGAGTGCTCAGCAGCTGTGAATATTCAAGATATTGGTTTCTGGATGACTGAATGTGTACCCAACCTCAAAACTTTAGGCCTCCCTTTCCTAATCCATACACTGAATTATACTTATCCTCTTATATAAAGTGCTTGGAGATCTGGGGATGAAAAATGCTATGTGAATGCTTAATCAGGATGTTCAGAAAATAATACCATGAAAAATAAAACAGAGGGGCTTCCCTTTTTCCATATTTCTAGATTGCTTAAAGTGATTTTAAATAATGCATCTTCGTGAGTCTTTTTAGGTAGCTGCTGTTGATTTATATTTAAGTTGTCTACATTTTCTTCAACAGAAGAAGCACATATGTAGCTGAATGTGTATGTGTGCATGTTTTGTGTATCTACACACATTGTATGGTCTTGTAAGGAGAGAACATATTGTAATGCATATACATAAGGAGGAAAGTTAATGTTGCTGTGGGAAATATCACTCAGAATTTCTCAGCTTTTGTGTGATAAAAATAATGTTTTAAAGTTCTTTTAAGAAATATGGTGTATGCTATAGTCATTTATGAAAAGTATGATACCTGCAGAACACTGCAGGAATATATTCTGCACTATTCAGGTGTTGTTGCTACATTTAGTTAAACCCCGAATCATAATCTTCCCAAGAGGAACTTCACAATTCCCCTATTGTTTCTGGAAGGAATTTTTCTCCAATTTTTGCACATCAGCTGGTGCACAGATGACCAACTGTGCTGAGCCCCAAGCCCAGCCCCCTGAAGCAAACAGCAGCATTTCCTCTCATTTGCCCCTTTCATCTTGTAAACATATGCTCTTTGTGCAACACCTTATGTCTAGTTATAAGAGCTTGGCAAGAGGCCTCATCTGGAAGTAACACCACTATCACTTCTGGGATCAGCAAGCAGCTGGTGCCAAGCAATGAGACACCTGGTGCCCGCTCTCCCCCGTCGTGCCCTGGAGATTTAAGATATCACTGCTATAATACATGTGTCTCCAAGAGGCCTAAAGGCACAGTGGCCATACTCAAGATAACGGATTCCTAAGTTTTGTAGGCTAAACCCAATGAATGTGTTCTTCTGTTGCATAACCTGGAGTCCCACAAAACAGAGATCACTTAATTTTTAGGGTTTTTTTTTTATTTATATTTCAATCTTGACTTTTTCCATAGAAAACGTGCTACCCATAGTGCTGGAAAAAGGAAGGGCAGCCAGAAAGACCTGAGGCCTCCAGACCTCTGGATACATCATGAAGAGATGGAGATGAAGAACATTGAAAAACCTTCAGGTTCTGACCCCTCAGGAAGAGACTCGCCAATGCAGAGTTGTCAGGACATCACGCCAGTTAGCCACAGCCAGTCTGAAACTCAGCTGGGCAGCAAGAGTGCCTCACAGTCTGGTAATATTACCCCTTACTGAAATGTTCCCACTCCAATCTGCCTGGAGCGGTTTCTAACTATAAACGCCTGTAGTGATATGTAAATATTCTCTCAGTAAAGGGTATGGCAGTGGTTGTTCTAAAATGTGCTTCGGAGGGATTCCCCAGCTGCCTGCTCCCACCACCATTGCCAGCAGTGATTAACAGGCACAGTATAGTACTGGTAGTCTTGCCCAGCACTAGGCATTCGAAAATCAAAATTCAAGCCATCCCAAGATTGGTTTAAAATCATGAGATTTAAAAATAATTAGGCTCTGTTTATCTGCCTTCTGGTGTTGAAGCTTTTAGTGTTCACACTGTCAAGCTTTTCATTGCAGATATTAAAAAAAAATTGAAACAACAACTGGGGCTCTCAGAATTGCACCAAATATCTGGAGGCTCATAATAAAATAGGGAGAGTTGGCAATACTGCTTGGGCTTGCTGGCAGATACCTCTGGTCTAGTATCACAGCGTGACTAGCTCCCATGAGTAGTTTGCAATACAAGCTGAGCAGTACATATGCTGAAATTCAGATCTGAGGGAAGTAAAAATCATTTGTACATGCAATAGCTGAATAGATTACATTTTATATGGCATTGGTAGGTTTTAGCTTATCATTATCAAATATTTCTAATGGATAAGAATGATTTTTCAAGAAGTCAAACATTAAGCAAATCAACAGTGTCTGCAGATAGATACATTTCATTTCTCCAAGATAGCATGTTATTTGCATAAGTTTATAATTAGAGGAATTCACATCATGTTTGATTTCTGCACCATTTTAACATGATGGGTTCAGAATTTCATTTGGAAATGAAATGTTATTGAGACATGTCTGTATGGTCAGTTAGTGCATGTACTAAGTAGTCATATGGACCCTACTGTATGAGCTAGCTCAGGGGTGGCCAACCCATTCTGGGCAAAGACCCAAGATATCAGTGGATCCAACACAAAGAGCCGGGGAAAAGTTGTTAAGCAAAAAAAAAAAAAAGGACTGCTGCTTTTGCCACTTTAAAAGGAGCCCCCAGTTGCATTTAAACATGTTCAGAGGCTTTTTGGCCACATCAGGATCCTGCCAGCTGATGCCATCTTTAATTCTACATCTTTAATGGCCGTGCCGGATGGCTCCCCTGCCCAGGTCACCACAGGGAGCCAGGAAGAGAGAGCCATTTTGCAGGGTGCAGTGGTGGCTTTATGATCCATGGGGGTGGGGAGGGGGGGCTTTGCGAGCCACACCCTGTGGGGGGAAGAGGTGCATGTGGCTCACAAGCCGCAGGTTGGCCATAGCTGAGCTACCTAGTCAAAGCTAGGAATGTTAGATATTGGGTAATTGAAGAGTTGTGTAACTGCATGAAATCTTAGTGGTTACATGACACGGTGCGGTGCCCCTGAGGTGCCTGGGAGCGCCCCCACCCAGCATGGCAGCACCGCACGGCACCCCTGAGGTGTCCAGGAGCACCACCGCCCAGCACGGCAGTACGGCGTGGCGCCCTTGAGGCACCCGGGAGTGCCCCCGCCCCCACCTGTCCTGGTAGCACCGTGTGGTGCCCCACCCTGCAGCACCGCATGGTGTCCCGGGGGCACCCCCGCCTGGCCCTGAAGCACCATACGGCACCCCAGGGGTGCCCCACCCCAGCAGTGTAGCTTGGGCTGGCTCTGACTCCAGAGCTGTAAGGCAGAAGCTGAAGGTAAGGGTGGGGAGGAAGGGGCTTTTGTGGTGGGGGAGGGTAGAGGAGGAAGAAAGGGGAAGAGGTAGAAGAGGCTTGTATGGAGGGGGAGGGGAGTGGGGGAAG